CAGTTTCAAAAGTGATGTCGCTGATGCACAGGGACCGAGCCTTCATGAGGCGTAGGGCATCATTGAGGCCAACCAGGCCGACAATGCGGCCGTCCAGGGCCTCTGCGCCCTCAATGGCTTCAACACTCGAGAATTCCGCACCAGGCAGCTGCGCCAGGCTCTTGCCCTCCTGGCGTGGTCAAAGTGACGGAGCCATCCAAAGCTCTGAGCAAGTCTGCGCCGTCCTCGGAACACTCGTCCGCGAGGATGAGGCAGCGCTCCGGCGCGTGTTTTCCACTTGCATCCTGAAGAGCCCATCGCACCTTCAGTTGTGGCTCGTATCACAAGCAGTTGCAAGCACTGACAGGTATCAACATTGATTGCTGGCCCTGTGCTCAGTGTGACGAGCCGCCTCGTACATCTTTTGATCATCCTCGGCCATCTGGCTCTCCATAGCTTTCTTGATCTGCTCAGGCAGGACCTGCGTGTATCCAGCCAACGTGTAAGCACTGACAGAATCATGTTGTCAGAGGCTGCTGTTGCTGTGCCCCTCTCGCGACGGCCTTACGGAAGACGACGTCGGTGCCCTTGAACAGGACTTCACCGTCGGGGCTGGCGACGGTTGTGTCAAAAACCTGCAAAGCTCGACTTGCTCGACTCGAAGAGCAAGAACACAAACCGGACTCAACCGGGAGCCCGATCTCTAAACCCTCCGGGATCCGCCGAGGATCGGAGCCTGCTCCTGCTCCGAGAAGGACTTGAACTGCAGGTGGCAAAGGTAGCGCCTGAGTCTCAAATCGAGGACTCGACAGGAGAGGCATCAGCATGCAGCCACATGTAGCCACGCTGCTCCTCTCGAGAAACATCTCTGTGGACGTAGGCCTGCGAAGCGCCAGATTCGGAAAGTGGACTCGTCCGACTAGAGCTGCTTATCTCTCCGCCTGCAAACGGCCCATGCCAGCAAAAATCTTGAGCGGTGCATCCCACCCGATCATGGTAGCTCCGAGGACATGGATAGTACCTGCCAAGCACAGTTGCCCAGCACTTGCCGAACCAGCGAATCGGCCCAACAATCGTCAAAGACAGAAGACGGCGCACCATCTAACGTTGCCGGATGCATGAAAAAGCCTTGATTGGGCTGTGACCTGGCAAATCTGGGGTGTAGAGGAATGAGAGAGACGACAAAGTCCTTGTTTGAGCTCCCAGCTCGGCAGAAGTCTCCAAACAGCAAAGGATGTCCTTGTCGCCGCCTGTGAGCGCACGGATGCAAAAGGCTTCCAGGTCACCGTCAGAAATGTGCCTTCACTGGAGGGCCCTGTCCGCAGTCGCTGCATGGACGTGCAGACCTGTCAGCTGAGAAGTTTAAGAGAGCAAGCAGGCCAGTGTAGACTTGCTTCAGTGCCTGGAACCGTGGACCCAACCAGAGTCCACACCTGTGAACACTTTTATCACAAGGAGGTACACACTGGGCAGCTCAG